TGACACATACTGGATGCTCAATAAATGTAGGAAGGGAGGAAGGAAGGGAGGAAGGGAGGGAGGGAGGGAGGGAGGGATGGAGGGAGGGAGGGAGGAAGGAAGGAAGGGAGAAAGGGAAGGAGGGACCCATCTGGGGACCATGTTTTCAAGTTTATTTCATTCGGCTTTGATTTGACTCTCCGATCATTTGCAGTCTCAGCTGTGGGCAGTCAGCAGCTCACCTCCTGTGGCTGAGTGTGGGCTTCCTCGCAGCCTGCTCTGTTTCACTCAGCTGCATACGTTCAGCCTGCGATGCTGTTATTTTCTAAATGGCTTCCACATAGCACTCAGGGTCCCAACTCTCTGTATCTTAGCAAACACTCTGCACCCAACTTACACATAAAATCAGTTTCAGGCTGACGTTATTTTTGCTTGGTTCTGCAGCATTTCCCACCCACCCACACTGACCATTATTTTTTTATAAAAGTTCTTGAGTGATAGCACACAGAACTGATAGCCCGCAACAAGTCTTCTTCCATTCAGGTCCTGAAGGGACCACGGTGACATCATCTCCTCATCCATGGGGTCGGTTCTCTGACACTTCGAACCATTAACTCCGTCAAACACGGGCAGTGTCCTTGTTGTACACGCTGCTGCCGGGGGCTCTCCTGTCTCTACGGTAGCCCTGTCCACCTCATTGCAAGTTTGGATTTCCTTTAAGCAGACATTGGAGGGACAGAGCACAATGTAGGAGAGTCAGCTGTGTCTTTCCAGACCAAATGTTTTAAATAAATGGCTACTTTTATCACTGGAATCACCTTTGGGTCTCTGAGCCAGGCAGAGACAGTGTGACAGCGTGTGTGTGCACTGGACCGAGTAGAGAATACACTTTCATCCTACTTGCTGTCGTGCACGCAAAATATAGTTCTGGCACATACTGCATTGTTTTTCTTTTTCTCCACTCACTTGTAATTTAGTATCTGTTAATCCCAGGCCATGCTTATTCAGACAGGAAAGTCACCTAAACTACGGGCTCTCTAAGGACAGGTACTATGTACTTGGCTCCCCAGCGAATGCCGTGACCTAGCCCGTATATAAGGTTGACTGAGTGAGCGATTAAATAAAGGTTGGGATGGATTTAACTGGACTCATAGGTTTTCATATCACGGGCAATATCCTCCATAATGACTTTCTGTATTTATTCGATTTATACTGGTTTACAAATATGGTTTTTTAATTTTTAAGTTAGAAAGTTATTTCTATCAGCATCTAGAATATGGTAATGATTTTAATGGAAACTTTGTTAGTCCTCTTTATAAATGTCAGTATTTCGATTTCTCCTGTGTGATGATAAAAATGTTGACATTAACAGAATTAGCTCACACATGTCAAGAGGTTCAGTGTGCATATTAAAAAGCAGCAGCATCATGCAGATGACGACACTGGTTGGTGACCAAAGTCTGACAAAAATGATTGCAACTCATCATCTGATGCGAAAAGAAAAAAATAAAATAAAAATAAAAAGTAGCATCATTATGGTTTTTTTTTTAAAAGAAAAACAGCTTTCTTATCAATGTCATTAAAGGACATATGGAAAAGGGAAGAAATATTCCCATCGTCCAAGACTGCAAGGCAATCACCAGCAATGTCTCCCCACGTGTCCCTCCAGGCCTGCCCATTCGGCGTGGAGCCCCGGTGAACGTGGGTGTGAACTGATCCACCAGCCCCACTCGTGCGGGAGGGTCGAATGGTGGAATTTCGGAAGAGGCGTGCAATCTTTAGTCCTGCAGCTGAGACGTGCCTTTTACTATCTGTAGATTCCCATTTTGAAAAATATTTGCTGCTCCCCAAAACCACTCTACACACCACAGCCCACGACAGTCAAACAGAAATTCTGGCTGGGGGGTTGGGGGTGGGCGACAGAAGTCAGAGCAAACCAGAGAAGCAGCCACCTCTGGTGACGCTTGTTGGGGGAAACACAGAAGGCCCTTAAACATGACTTTATAATAAATATTCTTGTTATTCGTGTCTACAAACTGAGCATCTACTAAGAGAAACCTAGAAGACTCTCTAACTGGTGATCACGGGCCTGACCCACGAATGTGTTCACTTGGGGCAGACCCGCGTGCCTGGAACAGTGTGGGAAGGGAGAGTTAGGATGGCGAAAGTGGACCATCTGAGCAAGAACAGACGATGCGCTTGGTGAGTAGAGCTAGGCATTCCACCAGGTGTAATAAGAAGAAATTGGAACACTTTTTAAAGGCTCTAGCTTTGTAGTATTCAAAGGTTACATGGACTATGGGGAGGCCAACGGTCTAAATATTTCTATAAAGTTTTCATTTCAGACTGAGTTCAACCAGGCTCACCCACCTTTTGATTGCCATTGATAAGTCCTAAACTTGATCGCACCCTTCACCCTCAGGTTCCATGCAACCTGTCCAGTGAATCACAGAAAACCTGCTCAGGCCGGACTAAGGGGCTAGGAGTCTGAGACTCTGATACCGGCATGCACCGAGCAGAGAAAAGGCCTGCCCCCCACCTCGCAGGAAAGGGCTCTTTCCAGATGCATGACTGTGCCCCTGTGCTAGGTTTTAAGGATTATCAGACATACTTAGAAGTGTTTTCTTTTTGGTGGTGTTAAACATTTTAATCTATATTCTATAATATAACATCTTGCTTCTTTTTTTTTCACTTAACGTGGTATGATCAAACATCTCCCCTTCATTACATGGCCATCACAGACATCATTCTAATATCTGCACCACGCACCATGCAATGTGCACAACACCATCCATTTCCCCCATTGTTGGAGATTTCGACTGAAGAAGTAAAACCCCAATGTGGAAGATTCCCTGGAAAAGTTCGATGATTCATGGCAAGGGTTTACACTTTTTGATGTTGTGTGAAGATAAAATATCTCCCATTGAAAAAGGAAATGTACCATTCAGAGTTGCTTTTCAGCAGAAGCTTTTGTTGTGTTTTTAGCACAATTCACCAACCCTCTGTTCTTCTGTTTATATAAAATAGCCACTTACAAACAGTAACTATAATAAAAGTAGGTACTTTATATACAGATGCCCGGGGGTGGGGGGATGGGTACCACTTCAGAAAGGAGTATGGAATAATAAACACTACGGGCCCAGCCGCACACACATCTCCTGTGGTCGGCTGCTAAGGTTGTGACCCCTGTGGTCAGTTGTATATTTTGATTTCTCTGCCACAGCCCAGTCCTGGGAGCTGACTGGAGAAGTTGAGGGTGCTGGGAAAGAAGAGGAAGGCTCTAACCGGAGACCACTAGGCCTCCTCTTCTCCAAACATCGGTAAATGATGGCTCTCCTCTATCATATATAATTTAGCCATGAGGTTTGGCAGTTTCTAAGTAACATGAATATAAAATGTGTAGTCATGTGAAATACCTTTGGTTAAGCTGTCCTGTGAATTCAAGATACCGATGTGAGAACATGAGTGTGTGTGTGAGAGAGAGAGAGGGAGAGAGAGGGGGGAGGAAGAGGGGTGGGGGGGGGAGAGATGCATTTAATATGCAACAGAGGGAAAAAGAGATGTACTCTCCCGTCCCATGCAAGGCCATACAAGGGTTGGTGGGCTGGCCGTGGGAGCCCTCGGTACTAACATTGTTTAAAAAGTCAGTGTTATTATTTTTAAATTCTCTATTGACAACCACCCCCTATTCCTTGCACTCGAGGGAAAACATAAAACCACAGGCTTTTATGTACAGGACCTTATTGTCCTTATCAACAAAGTCAGCTGGGGTGGCTGCTGCTAACCCCATCTTAAGGATGAAGAACCAAAGACTCAGAAAACTCAAACAACTTGCCCGTGGTCGTGCAGCTCAGAAGTCAGGTTTAGGATGTGAACTCAGGACACAGCGATTCAAAAGCATGCATTCCGTAAAATATGCTGACTTGATAGAAATGGTGGAGAGATTTTATTCACAAAGAAAGAGGAGAAGCAAAAAGAACTAAGGAGAGGAGAGGAAGGAAAGGAGAGACAGAGAAAGAAGGGAGAGAGAAAGGAGGGAAAGAGAGAAAAGAGAGAGAGAGAAAGAGGCTACTTATAGTTTTTGGCCCAAGATCTTTCCCTTCTTACTTCATCATACTTTTATTGTATTTCCTTTCTGGTTACCGTCTGCCGTGGGCTGAATTGTGTCCCTCTAAAACTCATATACTGAAGTGCTAACTAAAAGTACCTCCGAGTGTGACTGTATGTGGGCACAGGGTCTTCAGAAGGTCACTGAGTTAAAATGAGGTCATCAAGGTGGGCCCTCAGCCAGCACACCAGGCGTCCTCGTAAGAAGTGACGCAGACGAGACCCAGACCCCGAAGGAAGACCCTGCGAGGACCCAGGCAGAGGAGGACCATCGACAGGCCGAGGAGAGAGGTCCCCGAAGAAACCAGCCCCCTGACACGAGGACTCGGACTTCCCGGCCTCCGGAGCCTTGAGAAAACGCATTTCTGCTCTCTGAGCCTCCCCATCAACGGTATTTTGAGAAGGCAGCCCTAGCAGCGTAATACACCATCATTTGCCTTACACGGAGGCCGGGCTTTTGGGGGTCGGCCCCACACTGGGACCCCACGAAGCCACTGTCCCAGTGGTTCCTTAGCTGGTTCTTTCAGCTCTTCTGGGGACAAACGGGCCAGCAGGATCGGGCCCAGGACACCCCTGTATGTCCCCAAGGCAGCACAGGGCTGGTTCCAAGTCCACATTCCTGTAAGGGCACTGCCCCACCTTTCCCCTTTGTCTTTGCCACGAGGATATATCCCAGAAAGCCACACGACGCGCGCCCTGGCCGCCCTTGGCAGAGACCAGCCCCCGGTTTGCGAGCAAGCGATGGAATCGGGACCTTAACCAAACACAAAATGACAGAACCGTTTCCAGCGGAGGATTAATTGAACCCACTCAAGGCAAACACGACGTATTTTGGCATCGCTTTTGACAGATGAAAATAAAACAAACATTAGCAACCCATCGCAGCTCCCAATATGCAAAATTAAAGAAGGTACCTTTTTTAACTTTGTCTGGGAGCCTGCTGGCTTTTCTTCTCTAGAAGCTGCAAAGGAAAAAAAGACAGAGCTGTTAATCTCGTTACATAACCAGTTAGCACTTGCAGACAAGGGGAATTCACCGTCTTTGCATGCAGGGGAGAGAGCGGATATTTGACACATATATTTATTAGGGAGACTGGACTGGAAAATAACACTGCCGTAGTAGTCAGAAATGGTGTAGAAAACCCTTAAATAATGCAGCAGGCTGTGCAGACAGCGCAAGAGGCTTGCAAGTAGAGGCCTGAGGTCTGAGTATTTTTATTTGAAGGTTAAATTTTCAATTAATTTTTTTTTCAGCGTGTTGCCATCTCTTCCAAGCGTCACTGTTAATTGCTACGAAACAACGTCTCTCCCTGTTTGAATGCCGCACGGGGAGCCGGAAGCCGCCAGCCCACCCTCCAGCAGGCACCGGAGTACTGGGGCAGCAGCGAAAAGTACTGAGAAAAAGCCGAGCCCAGACGCCAGGCTCTGAGGTCGAAGGATTGGTTTGGAAACCCCGTTTTCCACTTGCTCGGTTTTCCAGAAGGTGCATCCATAAGCCCTAGCTTGGCACTGGAAAGTGCAAATAGGAGATTTCTATTATTGGAATCTCTAAATCTCCCAGTTCCAGGGGGCTCTGGCACACCGGGGCTTGCACGTGCACACTCAGTGATCAGCAGAGGAACCATTTCGTTTTCTTCAGAATGGAACAACAGGTCCCTGCCTTTGGGGACCTTATGCACCTCTCCTGCTGGTGGAGCTGGCTATGGAGGGCTCTCTCCTAGGTCACGCCCTCATCGTCTGGGGTGATAAAAAGCAGGATTTACAAAGCAATCAGATGATTAAGTAATGGGGCTGGAAATAGGGTTGCACCCTGAGCCGAGGGCAGGATGAGAACAGAGGTTTGGGCGACAGGGACACTCACACATGTTTTGGCTGAAAGACATGTTCTGGCTTCAGAGTCAGAATTAATTTTAAGTGGAGAATAATGGCATTAATAAGGATAAAATGTGTAGCATTACATTTCATTTAAAAGAACTTGGTCTCATAGAAAGAACATGGGTTTTTTAAAAAAAATGAATAAATAAGGCAAATCTAGTTTTGTAACCCAGCTCCATCACTTCCTACTTTCACAGCCTTGCGTAGGTCGCCTAATTTCTCACCCTCAATTTCTTCCTTTGTGAGATGGGAATAGTTATGCTTACGCTGTGCCTCCCCAAGAGCAGCAGTAAAGATGAGTAAGCAGATGACAGATTAGATTGATTTTTGTCATCCTCCCCGACCCCCCAGGGGAGATAGTTGGCATTGTTTGGAGACATTTTTGACTGCCACAACCCGGGCCGGGGCTGCTACCAAAATCTAATGCACACAGGCTCAGGGTTCCGCTATACACTGTACCACGCACAGGACACACCCCCGAGAATATGTCAGCCCCAAATGTCAACAGTGCCGACACTGGAAACCCTAGATGCGATTATAGGTAGGCAGATGACAAAAGCTAGACAAGAAGTTAATGGAGAAATTGATTTTTTTTGAGATTTATGGATTATCTATAAATCTATAGAGAGGTTAATTGATAGACGGGGGAGATAGTCTGGCACGGGATACTCTAGGCCTTCAGCAAATGGAAGTGATACTTTTAATTAAATCCGAAGAAAGGATTAATGACATTTAATCCTGATAGGGTTGGGATGAAATAGTGGCTGTTGCTAAAGGTGAAAAAATGAACGTAGTCATGAAAATGTGCCAGCCGTCACGCTACGTGTTTTGTGTTTTTATCACATTTAAGATTGGGGTTCATTCAAGCCTAAGGCTAGGGTAGTGTTAGAGCTATGGACCCAGGGAGGGTTGGGACAAGGGCTGGAGCTGGGGGGCGATGGGCAACCCCACCGGCAGACCCTTCCCAAGGAGCAGCCAGAGCAAACTGATTAATCATTCTGGAAACAAGCAGACCACCCCACCTGTGTCAAGCCTCCCAATCTGAGTCCCTGTAGTTCAAGGGCGGACAGAATCGATGTGACATGTCAGGACGGCCCACCCAACAGCCGCCCACTTTCCCGGGCAGCGATACCCGGATTTCTGGAGCACACTGATGACCGAGTTCTCTCCCAGTCATTGGGTACCATCCCACGAGGCAGCGGCGGGAGGGAGCTGCTTTTTGCCACCTCTCCTCTCCACCAGTAACTGCACCAGCAGATGTCTTTTCCCGAAGTGGGCATGGTATTGGAATGTTTCTAGCACTCTCCCCTCATTTTTCTTTGTAAATTGATGTTTCCCCTAGTGGGGTATTGAGCAGCCATGGACCGTGCCACCGCCTCCCCCTCGGCACGGTGCAGGGTAGTAACGGAATGACCTGTGAACGCGCACACTACGTGGTTACAGCATTCCTTCCCTGGGAGATGCCCCCAGAACTCCGAAACCCCGCCTACCTCGGAAACCAGGACGGCCCTGCAGTAGCCACCAGAGCTTGCAACTTCCACACGGTGAGTCCCTAAAATACAGAAGACACGGAAGTGTCTTAGAGAGTTGACAGCACATAAGAGGATGTGATATTGCTGCCATCTCGATGTGACAGGCTTGTCATCTGCAATTTGAAATAAGAGAGCTTTAAGCTTTATATGGGAGGATCAGGAAGCAGCTAAGATCTAAAGCAAAGAGCCCATGATGTTTGCTCCCATCATGCCCACCTCCCAGGTATGGAAACTTCCTGGAAGAGATTTGCCTCCCCAAGCTCTAATTGCTCCACTTAAAAAAAATGGGGCCACCAACTTCAGCCCTTTGCATTTCCACAGGGTCAAACAAATGGGCCACACATTGCATCCAACCCCATGAGCTATGGGGTGGTTAAAATGCCTGATCTTGATTTTAACCTAGAAAGGTTACATATCTTAAGGGAAATATGAACTCAAAGAACCAAAATATGTTGCAGAATAAGATGCCTAAAATTATGAGACCAATTTCAGTGTTGGGCGGGATGTGTGTGCATGGAGGGGTGGGGGTGACACACCAAGCAATTCTCTGACACCAGCTGGCAGTCCTACAACTGAACTTAATTCTGACACTGTCTACCTGGAGACAGCATCGAACCCAGCAGGTCAAGGGCTCAGTCCCACCAGACTGGCTCCCCCGTTTAGACACCAGTCACAAGTCCAGGCTGTCCCTGGTACTTCCGACAAACCAACTGCAACCTGGAGGTTCCTCTCACCCACTCCTAGGGTTTGATTAATTTGCTAGAGCAGCTCACACAACTCAGACTAATATTTTACTTACGAGACTGCAGCCAGATGGAAGAGACGCACACAGCCAGGTGTGGGGAACAGCCCCAGAGCTTCCGGGGCCTCTCCCTCCCAGCCCACCATCCTCCCTGGACCTCCCTGAGCTCACCAACCAGAAACTCTCCAGACAGGCTTCTTAGACTTTTATACAGGCTTCATCACACAGGCATGATTGATTTAATCATTGGCCACCGGCGACTGAACTTAATCTCAAATCAGTCGCTCTCCCCTCCCTGGAAGGGAGGGAGAGGGTGGGACTGAAAGGTCCTCCAATCACATGGTTGGCTCCTCTGGCAATCAGCTTGGGGTTGGCCAATCATCTCCCTCCCTCCCCAAGGCCCCACCCCCAACTCTAGGGGATTTCCAAAAGTCACCTCATTAACTCAACTCAGGTGAGGTCCTGAAAGGAGATTGTTATGAAAAACAATATACCCATTTCACAGTTATGATTCTCAGGTGATTTCAAGAACAAAGGACAAGATACCAAATACTGTAACAAAAGATGCTCCCAGAACGACTGTGGCTCAGGAAATACCAAGGGTCTGGGGAACCAGGAGCCAGAAACAGGACAAAGACCGAGTTCGTGTTCATTACAAATCGCAATATCACACTGCCTCCTTTTATTCCCATCTTCACTTTATTTCATGGGGGGTTTGTGAGCATGGAATTTTGGTATCTCTCTTCTAAACAGAAGTAACAACAAAAACAACAGTACCACACATTGATAAGGCCCTTTTGAAAAGTGCATTCGTACTGAGGATATTATTTAGATAATTAAAACCTGTGGCTCCCAAGCCTGGCTGCTCATTACAATCACCTGGAGAGAATTTACTTCTGCCCGAGGCTGGGCCCCGCCCCCAGGGAATCTGATTCAACACACGGGGGTGACTTTGGAGTGCTGGGTATTTTTTTGCTTTTACTTCCCAGGTGACTCCAGTGTAGAGCCAGAGTTCAGAGCCATGACAACGGTCTGGGAGAATCAGACAGAGACTACCATCTCTACTGCTCAGTTGGGAAGCCAGAGGGAGGTTCCGGAACTTGCCCGAGGTCATACATGAAAGTTGTGATACCACTGGGATTTGAACCCAGGTCTCTAGGATCCGTGCTCTGTTAACTACACCATATTTTCTAGGAAGAAAACTTAACTAAGATGGATGGAAGTCCTGGAGTGGAGAAAAGACAGTCTGAGCCCTTGGCAAAAATATACAAGAAAGTGGCAATAATACACTCACCCACAATGAGTCCACAGGAGGCCCTCGACTTGCCTTGCAAATGCCAAAACCAGGGCATGGTTCGTTAGAAAACCGCTTACTTACTGGGAAGGAGTTTGGTGGACAGTGGCGATTCGAGAGGGACAGATAAATACAGACTTCTGAGTTGGTAAAACACCCGGCTCAGCAGTTCAGAGCCAGAACAGAAAGCTCCCTGAGCAGGCGGGCACCTTTATTGTGGTCGTCAGCTCTGGGCCCAGGGAGCAAGGAGCTTGTCAGGGTTCCTGGGACGCTCTGAAGGAAGTGACTGGGCCCCAGGGAGCACAGAAATGTGTCACTGGGGGACACCTGGGTGGGGCTACCCATTCAGAGCCTCTCTGCACCCAAGGCCTGAGCGGACGGTAGCCAAGTTGTGAATTATTGTAGACTGACAGGGAAAACGATGGCCTAGAAAGGATCATATTAATTGGAGAATGGAATAAGAATTCTAAATCAGGGGTTCCCCTACCTCCAGACTGCACAGACCGGTACCGGCCCGGGCCTGGTAGGACCGGGGCTGCCCAGCGGGAGGTGAGCTTGAATGTGATGGGCTTGAATCATCCCGAAACTATTCCCCACCCCCCAAAACCAGTCTTGGTGCCAAAAAGGTTGGGGACCACTGTTCTAAGTCACCAAGCCAATGAAGCCCAGAGAGGGGCAGTGACTCACTTCAAGGCCACGGAGCTAAGTGGATGGCAGACCCAAACTTCATCCACCATCACAAACCAACTAACCAACTAAACAAGAGAACGTGTGCGAATCACAGGCAAGCCCTGATTGTTGTCAGGAGGAAGTGGGGGCGGAGCAGAGGTCACTCTGGGCACTGTCGCTCTCTTCTGCCCGTCTGCCCCCTCCCCGCCTCTCCTGCACCCCTTCCACTCTTCGAGTGCACTTCCGCTCTGTGCTGCAGGGCTCCAGGGAACCCCATGGAAATCTGGATTGTCTGGCTCTGCTGTGTGTCTTGAGGTAAGTCACCTCACCTCTCTGAGTCTCAGCTTCTCCTCTAGTGAAATGATGTGTGTGTGAAAACAATTCTAACAATATAGCACCTGGTCTACTCTCTGAATCAGACACTGGCAAACAATAGCCAGTTCCAGCCTGCTGCCTGCCACCTGCTGCCTGCTTCTTGTAAATATGGGTGATCCTCAACCCGATAAGCCCATCGTACATTGAAAATATTGTTAAAGCCCTGGCTGGCGTAGCTCAGTGGATTGAGCGCGGGCTGCAAACCAAAGATTCCCAGTCAGGGCACATGCCTGGGTTGCAGGCCATGACCCCCAGCAACCGCACATTGATGTTTCTCTCTCTCTCTATCTCCCTCCCTTCCCTCTCTAAAAATAAATAAATAAAATCTTTAAAAAAATCATTAAAAAAAAAGAAAATATTGTTAACTTGAAAATGCATTTAATACACATAACCCACCAAACATCAGAGCTTAGCCTGGCCTGCCGTAACTGTGCTCAGAACACACGATGCCCAGAACTGCTGGCAGTGCGGTGCACTGTAGAGCGCCGGCTGTTTACCGTGCCCTCAGGATCCCGGGGCTGATGGGAGCTGCCACCGCGGGCCCCACCAGAGCATCTCACACCGCAGATTGCTGGCCCAGGAAAAGATCAAACGACAACATTCTAGGTACAGTTTCTACTGAATGCATATCACTTTTGCACTGTCGTGAACTCAGGAAAACATAAGCCAGACCATCACTGGGGACCCGTCTGCTCATCAGCGCATCGCGTCGTCCAGGCACACTCTGAGGCTGCGACATCAGCGCCGAGTGGACGCGACAGAGGCCACTGTGTGTCCCACCAGACTGGGAATGTTTGCTATCTGACCCTTGACTGAAAACTGTGCTGATTCCTATGAAACAGCACCCCCTCTGCCTGCCACCTGTGAGATGTACACCACACACACATACACACACACACGCACGCATATTTATATACTACCTCGTCCAGATAATCATTCTGCTTATGTGTTTGCTTTTAGTGGGAAAGTATTTCAAACATGTAACTAAACACAGAAACAGAATCAATTAATGATCCTCTCAGCCTCCTAGTTTTAACAGATGCAAATCATTCAACTAAACTTTATGTGTTCAAAATACTGTATCATAGTAATCTATATTTTATAGGTCACCTTAAATTCTCTTAGAAAAATGGGGGAAGACATAGGTACATGCATGAATGCAGAGCTAAATAACCAGAAGCATCCAGCCAAAAATTAGAAAATTTTTTTTTCTGTTTCAAATGAGTAGCAGGGTCTTGCTTATAAGATCCATGGGCTAAAGCGCAAAACATACTTTACCACGGATTCAGAAAATAATTACAAGTTTTTCACTCAAATATATACTTTACTATAAAAGTGAAGTTGTGATTTGGGGTATGACATCTAACCAGTGTACTCACCGTATTTACACTGCTTAAATGCTGATAGAAATAGGGCGAGGTTTCAGAAAACTAAAGGCTGTGACTGAGTTGAGTCCCCTTTTCCACCCACTTTTACCCCTTGTCTCCCTGGTGAAATCTCAGTCTCAGGAATCAACCTCAGTCAAAATGTCCTTTTATAACCACCAGGTCTTTTTGTTCGGAAAAGCCAGGTCCCTGAGACGTCTCCTGACCCCAAGGTTTGCACGCCTTCGTCTGAGCTCAAAGTCCCAAGGCTGACTTGGCCCAGGGCCCGACACTAAGGCCAGATTAGGCTTGACCAAGACCGAGAGGGCGGTTCCTGCCTTTCTCATGTGACACCAGCAGCATCAATATTGGCCTTCGATGCCCTTGCAATATCTCTTCACCGTATTCAGAGTTTTCCCTTTTAAGGCTCGTACATGGGTCTGTGTGTGTGTGTGCTTGCATACGTGTGCCTGTATTCTAATTCTCTCTCATGCCTTCTAATCGGTAACTGGGCTGGATATAGGTAAGCATAAACTGGCATTGAAGGTTCACCTTTTAAAAAAAAAATCCCCCTGACCAATATCTCTCTGATAAAGAAGTCAGTGTTGAAGACATTTTTGAGCCAGAAAAAAAAATTATTAAAAGACCAGAAAGTCTGCTAGGCTAGCACATGGTTAGTTAAGTTGTCATTGAAATGCCTGGAGACAGAAATATCTGTTAGCTTTATGAGAGTTGTTCCAGTTGTGCTAATGGCTGCACGAGGCAAGGCAGGGTGACAGGGTCACCATCTAATGTCCCCACCTGTCTCCCCAGTTTTTCTCAGAAGGGTTCCTGCCTCACAGGTGTGTTCCCCTCTGCAGATTCAGGGCACGGTATTTTTAAGCTTAGGGCGTCAGCGTCTCTGCTTCAGCCCTCAGAACAGCTTTCCCTCAACCGAGTGACAGAACTCCAACCACGTGTGAGTCACCCAGCCTCCCGGGGCTGGAGCCGGAAGTGTGCGTGGTGCAGAACCCAAGGGGGTTTGGAGCGGTTGGTAACGGTAGGTTCTTAGATACATCATAAATATCTATTACCGGGAAGATTCGTAATGACGAGAATGCCCTTTTCTCAGTGCAAGACTCTTCTCCCGTGGTACTTAACCTGCCCCCCTACACGAGAGAAACTATGCACCTTAATGGGGGACTCTTAAGACACTCATCATTAAAATGACTATTCTCAGATGCGCTCCAGGGAAATTCCAATTTTTCTCTCTTGACAACTCGGAAAACATAATAAAAAATAACTACAGCAACTTGAGAAAGATAATACGCCTTCTAATGCCATCCCCAAATGGCATAACTGCCGTGCCCCAAAAGGGCAGGAAGGAACAGTTTCAGTAGAGTGTGGTCATACCTCAGAGGCCCAAGGACACCTGGAGGATTAACTTAAAACGCAGGCCCACCTCACATACACTGTTTCTCAAGTTGGGGGTCAGGCTCCGGACCGCACCTTTTAATAAAGCCCCTGGCAATTGGGGTGTCGGGAGCCAGGAGGCCAAGCTTTGAGAAACTTTGAAAATTGTTCAGTGCTGGTCCTTTGTCTTATACAAT